TTTTTTAGTCTTTATCGATGTGCTATTTGTACTGTGTTGAAGGGAACACTCTATTAGTGCGCGATCGTGATGAGTACGTGGGTAGGCGATATTTTTGTAGGATTATGATTGAATGGTTTGGTTTAAAATGTTATTCTTCTTTTTATGCGTTGTGGGATTACTGTGATTGGCTTATTTTTCATTGCAATGTAGGTTAGAATTTTGTTTGAAATGTGATCGGATTGTCGATATTAAAAACTGATTCTATTACTGAGCGAGTATGTGGGTAGGTGATTTTTTTTTTCTTTTTTGTAGGGTTGTGATTGACTTACTTCTTTTCAATGTATGTTAGAATTTACTTGAAATATGATCTGATCATTCGGTCAATACTGAAAATCATGTTCCTTTTGCTTTGGCAGGCTGAAGATAGAAACACTTGTGCCATTCGTATCATTTATTCTTTAGTGAAGGGATTGCTTGATATTTTATAGCACTTGGTTAGTTCTTATCAGTTATAAGAATGGAAGAGATGGGAACTGAACTGGAATTTGATGACCTTGCAAGGCTTATAGGCGATGAGATTCCAAATGTTGGATCTGGAAATGCACATTCTGAAGAAAAAAGCTTGTCTTCAATGTCTGTGAATTCTTATGGAGGGCCTTCGTTTGGAAAGCTCCATAGAAATGGGAACTTGATGGATGGAAATATCCCAATGAGTAGACTCCAGCAATCACCTATGGATCAAATTCTAACTAGGCAAAATACTATGCCAGGGAACCAGTCCTTGACATTTGCATTTGAAAAATTAAGCTTAGGTGATGAGGCGGTGGCGGCAGTGAAGGGGCATGCTTGGAAGTCAGTGCCGGGTCATGCCGTCCTGTTGGATGACCATTACTCAGACAACTTGAACAAGCAATTTCTCAATATGGATGCATCAATGTTAGCTCCTTGGAGTTCTTCAAATCACTTGAATAGTGGTGTTCATGATCCTTATATGACAAGACTTGGCATACAAAACTCTCCCTCAAGACATGTACCTGAACAGTACAAGAAGTGGCAGGTTAGTCACCTTCAGTCATTTGAGACTTCCTCCTCCCCAACTATGCCGTTAACTCACGAGGTGGCCAATGTGCCTGCTCCAAATTTGCAGTTCCCTGTCACATCTCATCGTCAGCAAATATACCATAATGGGCGGTCTCCTCTTCGTTACATACACCCACAACAGGTAAATCAACGTCAAATTGGTTGGGAAGAGGAACAGTTTTACAGGATCCAGGAGCAGCACCCATACCTGCAGCATCTTCATAACCAGCAATTGGAATGTTTGCTTCCAATTCAACCACATGAGAATATTACCAGTAGGACTTCATGTCAAAATCGTAAGCAGCAATATTTTGAGGTTCCCATTTCTCACCATCTTGAGCAGTCTGATCATGAACCATCTTGGAAGACGTGTGCATTTCATAGGGGTCCAAACCAGTTAAGTCCTGTATTTTCAACACATTATATGGACACAATTCAAGGTATGGAGAAAATTTCCTTTCCTAGAAAGATCCTTGCAAGGAATCATGGACTGAACACGGTTGATGCTGTGAGGTTTGTGTCTATTGGTGCTGACAAATCACCTGCTCATGTCAACCAAAGTCGAATTGTTCGCTCAAATAGCTGTATTCGGCACAACAATTTGGCTCCAGCTACCGAATGCATTTGTCATGATCACCTTGGCTCATCTGCTTTGTACTCTGATTCTGCAAATTTTAAGTTACTGCCTGACAAACTTAACTCTGTCAATGAAGTCCGGGGCAAAATATATCTCATGGCTAAAGACCAGTATGGTTGTCGCTTCTTGCAACGAAAATTTGTAGAGGGTACCCAGGAAGATATTGAGAAGATTTTCAATGAGATCATTGATCATGTTGTTGAGCTCATGACAGATGCTTTTGGAAATTATCTAGTACAGAAGCTGCTTGAAGTTTGCAATGAGGATCAGCGGATGCAAATTCTTCATAAAATTACGAGGAACCATGGTGAACTTGTTATAATTTCATGTGATGTGCATGGGTATGCTCCTTTTCTGTCATTTTCTGTGTCACAGTTCAAACACAAGCACTTTATCCTTCATTGCACTTCCTTTCTTTCCTTCCCTTTTTTTTTGTTTTGTTATTTTAATTTTCTTTCGTATTCTTCATTCCCAATCACAGGACTCGTGCTATTCAGAAGGTTATTGAGACTCTTAAAACTCCAGAACAAATTTTCATGATTGTCTCTTCTTTAAAGTCTGGTATAGTGACTCTGATGAAAAACATAAATGGCAACCATGTGGCACAACATTGCCTTGAGTATTTAATGCCTGGTTGCAGTGAGGTGAGGGATACACTATATACATCTCTTTCTTTGAACTTGTCTGTTTCATGTGAGAAGGTGCTGACCTTTTCATCTGTAGTTTAGAACAACAAAAAGGCTTTCAATATCTGTTTGATCAAACCAAGTTGTAAACTAAAGCCTATATGTAATGCAACAACGTAATTTTGTTAAAAGGAGGTATTATTCAAAAGATTCATCAAGAAATCCAACTTAATGCCCTCATCATATGCCAAAATCATACATCCAAGACCTTTAAGATATAGGTGTATATTCACATGAAACCAATTACAATAGTATTTCTTCAATCTGAATTTATTTTCCCTTTTATTCCATCTTTCTGGGTATTTTTGCAATTTTTATTCAACGTGTTCCTTTGGTTATTTCCCATTTGGGAAAAAGCGTAGTCCAAAAGTTTTTGGTTGGTCTTTTACTTAGTTTACTCGTAACATGAGGAACGAAAGGGCAGCCTGGGGAATTTTCTAGCACGTGAGGTGGTACACTTGGGATTAAGTTAGTTAGTCAGTAATACTGCATGTAGTAGTAGTAATTCTTTAAGTAAAGAGTTTGAATGGGTAGAGTGACATGAAGCAGGGAGTTTAGAGGGATGTCAGTGTATGGGGAAGGGATTTGATTGAAAATCTGGAAGCAGGAGTGGCCAAGTAGGGAGCGAGGGAAGACTCTTAAATAATAATAAATATCTTCCCAGTTTTTACTTCATTTTTAACCTTTCATTTCTTTTTCCTCAAAGCTTTCTTAGTCTTTTCTTTAGTAACCTTTAACCTTTCCATGTTGTCTTTAGATGTGCAAAGAAAATTGGGATGTATATTGTTTGACAAAGTCAGGCAAGTGGAATGCTGTAGGCGGAAGGAGAGGTTGAGACTTAGAGGTTATGATAAGATAATTATAAGCACCAGAATTGTCATCCTATGATGCTTGAACGATTACTTTAGATTTTTGTTTTTGACTTGCAAGAGAGATGATTCAGATCAGACATGGGGGTCATAAGAGTGCATGGATTCATTGATTGTGCATCCATTTCCTGTATTATTACGTCCTTTTAGCTTAATATGAGAGCTCAGCTCTTACATGCCACATAAGCTTTCCTAGAGGATAAATTGCACATTCTTCACTTGACCATTTAAAAATAAACAAGTGGACTAGAATCTAATTTATGATTGACATAGAATCTACTATATGAGATTTTTGGTTAGTGCATGTGTGCTGGGGAATCTCCTACTCATTATTTTGGATTGGAGCCCCTTTTTGTATAGTTAGTGGTGAGGTTCCCTCATTTTGGGCTGGTTTTTTTTTGTATCCCTTGGCTCAGTCTTTTGTTCTTTCTTTCATTAATTTTTCAAAGGAAGGTTGGTTTCTCATAAAAAAAATGTTGTTATCATTTGTTTTTGCATCTCTCTTACTTAATCATCTGGAAAATTACTTCTTCTCAACTCCTTGTGCTCCCTCTCCCTTAAACTTTAAAAATTGACGAGTGACAAGCAGTTTTTTTGTCAATGTTTTCCATAGATCCTTATTGTATTTCATTAAAAGGTCTGTGGTAATGAGATATATCATTATCAACAATCCTTCTAGACTTGGATGCTGTCTTTTCAGTTCAGTTCAGACTGTTCCTACAGAATAGAATATAGTATTTCTGGCCTTATTGATTGGTGAATTTTTTTTCCGTTCCATGTGATGTATGGTGAAAGTA